CTCTCTCCCTCTTTTTGTTTCTATTTTCTTTTTCTATGTTCCTCTCTTTCCCTCTCTTTTTTCTCTTTCTTTTTCTTTCTATGTTCCTCTTTTTCCCTCTCTCTTTTTCTTTCTTTCTTTCTTTCTTTCTTTCTTTCTTTCTTTCTTTCTTTCTTTCTTTCTTTCTTTCTTTCTTTCTTTCTCTGTCTTTTTATCTTTCTCTGTTCATCTCTTTCCCTCTCTCTCTCCCTTTTTTTGTTTCTATTTTCTTTTTCTTTCTATGTTCCTCCCTCTATTTCTCTCTCTGTGTGTCCCTCCCTCCCTCTCTCTCTGCAGTGGCGATCAACACTTTGTGGCTCCCAGGTGGAAGCGGCCACAGCACCCAGTGGTCAGGCAAGGCGGATGGACCCTTCCCCACCTTCCTCTTTCTCTCTTTCTTTCTCCCCCTCCACTCCAAACCAAAGGAAATTCCTTCCCAATCCGGTTAGGCCCGGTTTGACTGCTTACCATCACACTTCTCTGTGGTTGTAAAAGTTTGTCTAATCTCCCCAGGGATTACCCTGCGTGTCTGATTAACTCGCTGGCATCTCCTTGAAATCTCTCGGATCTTTCTAGGGTGGGTTGAGGGTCGCTTTCTCCAAAGTTGCTGCCCTGATGCGGGATAAGTTGGGCTGCATTTTTTTTTTTAACCGTTGCTGGCTTTCTTGAGCGTCTTGAGTCATTTCATCTCCCCAGATAAGTTAAGTAAAATCCAGGGATCCTCTGACCTACGGAAGATACTATGTCCTTATACCTTAGGATATAATCTGGAGATATACCTAACCTTGGCCGCTTTTAAGACCGGTGGACTTCAACTCCCAGAATTCCCCAGGTAGCATGGAATTCTGGAATTCGAAGTCCACAGGTCTTAAAAGTGGCCCAAGGTTGGACATCCCTAATATGGCTGCCAACCCAACGTCTCTCAAATTTTTCCTTCGTTACCTTAAACGACTCATCCGAAAGTCTTTCTTGCCAAACTCCCAAGACCTATCCTAACTCTCTACCTTCAGCTCTGTCCTCGCTTGGAACCGTCGCTGAACAAACCTGCCAAGTCTCAAGAACTAAAAGCAACACCGTTGAATATCTTTGCCTCCTTTTGCGTGCCTTCCTCGGGGTTTCATCCATTTTAAGTTCATCTTATTCGGAATATGTCGGCAGATTTTCGAAAAGATCGTAGCCCACGTGGCAATCGTCTTAAGTCCATTTCAACATCCCTCTGGGGCAGTGGTGGGATCCAAATTTTTTTTACTACTGGTTCTGTGGGTGTGGCTTGGTGGGCGTGGCAGGGGGAAGGATCCTGCAAAGTCCCCCTTCCCTCCCCACCCCACTAACCTGCTTTCCAGCTCCGTTCTCCTGGGCAGGGCAACCAAAGAAGACCCAGCCGATCAGCTGGGACTCAATGGGAGGCAGAGAATAGATGGGGTTGGCGGGGCCAGTCAGAGGCGGGATTGGCCGGTTCTCCGAACCACGCAAAATTTCTGCTACTGGTTCTCCAAAACCAGTCAGTACCAGTTCAATACCCACCTCCGGCTCTCAGGAACCATCCCTGGAGTTGGGAGTCCTCTTCTAATTTTCTGCTTGCTTGTCTGGGTCCCTGTCCTGGGTGGGGTCGATTTCTAGAGCTTTCTTTGCGTTCGTTCAGCCTGGGGTCAACCATACGCTTCCATCCAGACGTGGTGACCAACTTTGGAAGGCGAAGGATGGTGGGGGGGGGGGGGGAAAGGGGGTGGAGATTTAAGAATGGAATTGGTATTGTTGAGTAAATTAACTATCCAGACAGCACGGTGTTTATTAAGCACTAAGACATGTAAACAATAGAAAATGGATGAAATTTATATTTAAAAAAGGCTCGTTTCTTTTCTCTTTCAGGGTTTCCTCAAGAGCCTTCGACCGAGCATGACCCGCCCTTTGGTAGGTGTGAAGATGCTTCTTTCCCAACTTTGGGGAGAATTTGGAAGATGAATTTTAACAAAATGAGACAAAACCCCCCTCTCTCGCCCCCCCTTGTCCATTCCTCTTTGCCCCTCAAAGGAGAAACACATTCTTCAAACAACGGCCTCATATCTTTCTGGTGCCCTGATGCTACTTGGGGGATGGTATCTCCCAGACGGATTCTGGCTAGGGATGCTGGGAGTTGTAGTCTTTTCAACATCAGGGGTGGCAGTGATAAGAATGCTGGCTATCCTTCGATCATCATCCCGGGAATAGCCCTAAAGCCAGGAAAAGTTACGCTGGAAATCAGAATAAAGTATAACGGATTTCCACTTCTCGGCGCTGCAAATCCAGAAAAAATGCAGTTAGTTTTTCCAGGAGGGTATCAGCCACGGTGAATTTCTCTTTCTGCTTTCCCGTTCCTGCTCCCTTCTTTTCCTTGGGACAATTTGCCGGGTTCGTTTTGTGACTTGGCAGAGTTCTCCCGCCCCCCAGGGTTGAGGCTGCTACCGGTTCGCACCGGTTCGGGAGAACTGGGTGTTAATTTTACATCTGCTTTGCCGAACCGGTAGTTCTGACGACTGGATAGCCACGGCCACCTTATCCCTCCCCCGTGGCCTGTTTTGGATCCTGGCTAAGTGCAGGGCCCGCATGGAGCCTCGGGGAGGGTGAGAAACAGGCCTTCCAGAAGGCCAGAAATGGGCCCGTTTCCAGCCTCTAGAGCCCACGGAGGCTGTTTTTGCTCTCCCGGAAGCTCGAGGAAAACCTCCGGAGCCAGGGGAGGTTGAAAATGCCCCCTGCCATGGTGCAGGAGGCCGACTAGGCCACCCCACCATGGCCATGCCTACCCAGCCAACGAACCGGTTGCTAAAATATTTTGAAGCCTTCCCCTGTCAATCAACATCCCGAGAGGAAAGGGGTCCTCAGGTTTCCTTTGAGGTGCGTCCCGAGGTGACGGTGCCCTCGCCCTCCATGAGTTGAGAAGTTGGCCAAGTCACGGCCTCACCTGGGGCCCCTTCAAAGTCAACTCCCCCCTCCTGCAGGTTCAGGCGAAGTTCATTCTCCCTCCAACCTCATTTTGGTGAGGATAAACGGGGCAAGGCCAGCCACAGGTCAGAAGAAGGTCAGGCTGGGTCAAACTTTTTCTCTCCCCCCTCCCCTCCCCCTGAGGTGTGTCCCCCTCGCTCCCCAACCCTGCAGTGGTGGCGGGACATTTTCTTCTCCTCTCCTCGTGTCGCCCGTCCAGCTGTAAAAGTCAAAAGAACTGGAGCCAGAAGGCTCCGAAAGAGGACGGGGAGCCGCCGGAGAAGAATGGCACCCATTGTCCCTTAAAACAGGAGAAATAATTGATTTATGTTATGGCACCCAATTAGGCTATAAAAGGGGGGGGGGAGGACGTTAAAGCTACCCCAGGGCTTGATTGCAGCCCCAAAGAGCCACCCTTCCCCCTATCTCCAAAAAAGGGGTCATCAACTCAGCATGCTAAATTATTTATTCCTTTCAAAAGCCGAGACAATGCCACCAGTCAACAATTGGGCCGTCCCCCCGTTCGCATCGTGGCCGGAGGAGAGGGCACAGGTCAAGGAGCCCCGGCCAGCAACAGCTGGTCCTCGGGTCAAGCCGACTTTGATTTCCAACTTCTCTCCCCTCCTCAAACGGGCCTTCCAGGGCAGCCCATTCTCCCTCCACCCCTCCTAGGCCCCTGCCTGGTCCATCTGTCCCCCCCCCCCCCCCCCGTGCTCGGGAGCAAAAAAAGGGAGACTGGACCGGACTCGTGCCAGTGTAAAGTTGGCATAAACTTCGCACGCTGGAGCCTCCCCTGGTTTATAGCGGTGCCGTCGGGGCCATCGACGGCCCTTCTGTGGCCGAGGACGATGGGGCAGGTTCTGGCAGCGAGTCCTGACCCATTTTTGACTAGGGTGCTTCCATAAAAGGTGGCACCCCAGCCATTGCGCGATGCAGGTAACCCTCGATTTATGACCCCCGTTGAGCCACTAAATTTACGCGGCTAAATGATATATCACTTTTTTTTTGGCCTGCCTCGTTTTACAACGGTTCTTCTCGCATTTGTTAACCAAATTCCCTCCGGTTAAATCAGTCACATGGTTGTGAGGCGAATCTGGCTTCTCTGTTGGCTTCGCATGTCGGAAAGCCGCCCGAGGGGATCAGACGACTCCGGGACAATGCAACCATCACAAGTGTGAAGAACGGTCCCTAAGTGCCTTTTTTCCCAGTGCCGTTGTAACTTTGAACGGACACTCAGCGCACTGTCGTCAGTCGAGGACAAACCCACAAGGTTCTTTCTATCGTTCTGGGATTTTATTTCAGTTTTATTTTGGCGTTGAGCTTCACACTAAGTTGTGATTTGGTGCAGCCTGTGAGCCTAGCTAGTGCGTAGCCAACATGTGCCCAATATTTCTTTTTTTTTTCTTTTTAAAGACATTCCTATGCCAACATCTGCTTCCACGGGGAACCAGCCCCATTGGCCTCTCCACATCTGGAGGGGCGTCCAGAGAGGAGCAGCCTCTGTAAAATTCAGCATTTCTCATTTGCCCGATGAGCTTGTCAATCTGAAAGGTCGGCGGTTCGAATCCCTAGCGCCGCGTCACGGAGTGGGCTCCCTTTACTCAAACCAGCGTCTGCCAACCTAGCAAATTGAAAGCATGTAAACAAATGCAAGTAGAAAAAGAGGGACCCCTTTGGTGGGAAGGGAACAGCGTTCCGTGCGCCTTCAAAGGTGTTTAGTCATGCCGGCCACATGACCATGTCCATCTTTGGACAGCGCCGGCTCTGTCTGTGAAAACTTTGAAAACATCAATACATATTATCAATCCTACTGAAGGGCTGTTGTAGATCAACAACGTCTCCACTGCCTGAGTTTAAAGATACTATACTAGATTTGAGCTGAACGTTAGAAGTAGTCCTTTCTTTCAGGCAATGTGCATTGGATAAGCTACTTTTAAACAAGAAATGGATCACTATCAGTCCCGCGGAACAAACATATGTTGGACGGTTGAGGAATCCCAGTGGCTGGTTTTAGGTAGCCAATAAAAATCCTTCCATATTTATGGTTCCCATGAAAACATTCTTAAAGGGATGCCTGTGGCTCCGTGGCTTAAGACGCTGAGCTTGTCGATCGGGAAGGTCGGCAATTCAGCGGTTCGAATCCCCAGCGCCGCGTCACGGAGTGAGCTCCCCTTCCTGGTCCCGGCTTCTGCCAACCTAGCAGCTCAAAAGCACGTTTAAAAAATGCAAGTAAGAAAATAGGGACCCCCTTTGGTGGGAAGGGAACAGTGTTTGGTGAGCCTTCGAAGGCGTTGAGCCATGACGGCCACATGACCACGGAGACGTCTTCGGACAGCGCTGGCTCTGCGGCTTTGCAACGGGGAGGAGCCCCACCTCCTAGAAGCGGAAACTAGTAGCACGTACGTGCGAGGGGAACCTTTCCCCTTTAACCTAGGATTCAGCTTCATCTCAAACCAGGATTCCTGGCTTATGCTCCTGCCTGTTGGAGGATATATAAACGACGCATCTCTCTCTACCAGTTCAACAAAATACCTTAATTTCCCCCCCCCACAAACATGTTTTAAACTCGGCATTTTTCTTCCTCTTTCTCTTTCCCAGCTGCAGATGTTGAACCGATGAATGCCCCTCCTTCTGTGCTTCTCTCGAACGCCAACAGTAAGTCCGATTTTCTCTAAGATGGTTTTTTTTTGGGGGGGGGGGGGGACAGAAGGGAGGTGTCATATCGTTTCCCCCTGTACTCATCTGCAGGGTATCCTCGACTTACGACAGCGATTGAGCCTCCCCAGCATTTTCTGTTGTCTCAGCGAGACGTTCGGTGGCTTTTGTCCCCCGTTGTGCGGCTTTTGTTGCTTCCCATTGTTCAGCGAGTCACGGCCAGTCAATGAGTTAGAAACACAGTCATTAAGCGAACCCCGGCTTGGGGGAAAAGGGTCTCAAAAGGGGATCATGTGAACCAGGGACGCTGCGACCATCATAAACGTGAAACAGTTGCCAAGCGTTTCAGTTTTGATCGTTGGACCGTGGGTCGTAGGGATGACAAATGGTCAGGGGGTGTGTGTGAAAGTTTTCAGCGCCGTCGTAACTTTGAACAGTCACTGAATGAACCGTTGTAAGTCGGGGACCGCCTGCAATCGTCGTGCCATGGAAGCGAGGCCCATCCTCCCCGCGGGAATCTTAAAAACGAAGATCTCCGTTTGCTCCCCTCAAACCCTTGTCCTTGGTGTCTGTTTATAGTCAGAAATGGTTCGGGATCTCTTGCTTGGGCAGGTGGTTGGACTAGAACAGTGGTCGCCAATCGGGGACCACTGGTGGTCCGCGAGAAAATTTGGGCGATCCACAAAGAAATGTCCGCCCCAAAGCAATTAATCCAGGCTGCGCAGGAACACAAGGCTGTGCTGCCCACATGGCCCGCGGGAACACAAGGCTTGCATTGCTTGCATTGCGAACAACATGAGGTAGTGAGGGCAGAGGGGGAGAAAGGGCGGAGCGGGGAACTTGCCCCACTCGTTCCATGCGCCTGTCCTGTCCATCAGGCTGCTTCTTTCTTCTTCTGCTTTTGGCTGCATGCAAGGAAAGCAGCCAAAGTCTTTCTTTCTCTCCCCCAAACTCCGCCAGAAATGAATCTTTGGGACCCTGCAAGGCCTCCTTGCCCCAAGAGGCTGCGCCGGCAAAGACTCATTTATGGTGGAGTTTGGGGGAGAGAAAGAAAGACTTCTGCGGCTTCTGCTGCTTTCCTTGCATGGAGCCCAAAGTCTCTCTCTCCACCACCACCACCCCGAGAACGGAGCTGGAGACGGTATCCTGCGATCCCAAATAAAGAACGATCAATCGGTAGGAAAACGGGGTGGGGAATTTCCCTGCAGGATTTTTTGGGGGGATTTTCCCGGGGTCTCTGGTCCGCGGGATTTAAAATGATGAGTTTGGTGGTCTAACCTGAGGTCCATAAGGTTGGTGACCCCTGGACTGGATGACCACCAAGGTCCCTTCTGACTCTTGTTAAACCTGGATCTTAACTGAAGAGACAACCACTCCTTTACCTGACCCTGGTTCAGTCATGGTTCTCCACTAGAGGGCGCGATCCAGAGTCTTCGGGTTTTTGGTTGCTTCTTTCCTAGAATCAAGTTTGTTTCCCGGCATCTTTTGATTGGCAGAGAATGGCCTCATTATGAGGGAGCCCCCCCCCCTCAAATCCCCTAGAATTTTTGGCGGAGCGGGGGTCTCATAAGCCTCCCCCTGGCTTCCCATCCAGAGGGGATGAGAGAGCCGAGGGTTGCAATTTCCTGAAGATGTTGATCCAGACAGAAATCTACCTTCTGAGTGTTTCTCCATCCTTAAAGGGACAAGTTCCCCTCGCGGATCTGTGCTACTCATTTCCAGCTCTAGGGGGCGATGCTTATCTCCGTTACAAAGCGGAAGAGCCAGCGCTGTCCGAAGACGTCTCCATGGTCATGTGGCCGACACTGTTCCCTTCCCACCAAAGGTGGTCCCTATTTTCCTACTTGCCTTTTTTTTTACGTGCTTTTGAGCTGCTAAGTTGGCAGAAGCTGGATGCAGGACTCTAGGTGTGGCCTTACTAAGGTCCTGGGTCTTGGGGTGGGGGGATGTCCAGCCTCCATCTTGGTGCTGTTTGATCCGCAGTTTGCATTCATTAGCCAGAGGGCTGACCGAACCCGAAACCCACCGACAGCAATGAATGTTGAGTGCAGCCATTATTTTGACGACTCTGGCGTTGGGTTCGAGCCCTGGTAGAGAAGCGACAGGGCCCCGTTGAAGCTTTTGGGGACCCGGGGGCGCTTCCCCCTCCCCCCCCCCCAAGGGTCAAGTGGAGTTTCTTGGTTTTTTTTCTTTGAAGACGTTGCGCTTCTCAATCCAAGAAGCTTCTTCAGCTTCGAGGAGACGTTCCGTGGATGAGAAGCGAAATGCCTTCAAAGGAAAACGAGAAATGAGGGAGGTCCTTGGTGCTCTCTGAGCTTGGGGGTTTTCTTGCAGACGTTTCATGACTCAACTAGGTACCATCATCAGTATTAGAATGGGATTTGGGTGGAGGAGGAGGAAGGGAAGAAGAGGAAGAGGAGGACTGTGGGGTCCTTGGTCCTCTCGGAGCTTGCTTGTTTTCTGATAAATGTAAGATAACATAGTGCTAGTCTACTAGTTTACTACAGTACAAGCAAGTACCAGGGACCCCACAGTCCTCCTCCTCCTCCTCCTCCTCCTCCTCCTCCTCCTCCTCCTCCTCTCCACAAACACTTACTCCCTACTAGCACTGATGAAGTTTCCTGGTTGGGTCACGAAACGTCTGCAAGAAAACCAGGCTCAGAGAGCTCGAAGGACCCCCACAGTCCTCCCCTCCTCCCAATCTCACTCCCTCTTAACACTGATGACGTTACTTAGCTGGGTCATGAAACGTCTGCAGAGAAAACCCCACCAATGTCCAGTTAGAGCCGAAGAAGCTTCTTGGATAAGAAGCGAAATGTCTTGCCCCCCCAAAAAACCCTCCCAAGAAAGGCTGAGAACCTCCATAAACATTTAAACTTTTTGGGGGGAGTTCTCTGCACGCATCAACAAGCCAGCCGGTGGATTTTTACCGAGGACCGTGATAAACCTCAAGGTACAGTCAACGATCGGTGGTTTCTCTTGACGGACCAAACTCACCGACAGCGTTGAATGTTCACTGAAGCTATCGTAAGCCGCACGAGCTGTCTTCGGATGGCCTGGGGGTCCCTCCGTCCATCCGTCCTCCTTAGTAATCTCGGGCAGTAGCGCACGAGCGTGGAGACCCTCCTTGGTTTGCAGCCTGGCCGTGTTCTAACTCGGTTAACCTTGGCATCGCTTTTGAGACGACAGCCTTCTTGTTCCGTCTTTCCAGAAAGCCAATTGCTGTCGTAGCTTTCGGTGACTTCTCGGCCTAACGTCAACTTGCTTGATGATGGGACGCTGTCCTTGAAACCCTGGGTTTGGGGAGTGCCAACTAATTGTTGTGTTTTTTTCCCCCCACGTGGACAACCGCCCAGTGGAACGATTTGGGGCATTTTGCAAAATGTACAGAAGGCAACGATGCACCCCCCGTCGTGAAAACGTTTGGTTGGCGCATAACAGGAGTCCAGAGACTTCCAAGCAGCAGAAGGAAGATTTCACGGAGGGGGGGAATTTGACTTTTGGGGTGTTCCTTCTTTGAAAGCCACTTCAGAACATGTTTATTCCTCCCGTTGTTTGAGAGGACCTACTATGAGATTTTGCTAGGAGCAGACTGATGGCGCACTGATGCATGCATATATATATATTTCTTAAGTTTTCACGGATATTTATATGTATGGTATTCAGCTTTGTTCGGGTATTTTCCCACGTCATTATAGTCGTGCTTTTAAAGTTGTAGCAACGTCTGACTCACAGACGAACACAATACAGAAGCCTGATGATGGCAGATGAGATTCTGCCGAAACGTTGCTACAACTTTAAAAACACAACTATAATGACGTGGGAAAATACAAAGCTGAATCCCATACATATATATATATATAAGCAAAATGCCATTCATGCATCATAACAAATCTCCAGAACCGTAAAGCCTACAAACTTGAAATTTTGGCACGTATGTTCCTCTTGGCTTCTAGGGGCTCACTAAGAAAGGATTTTTCGAAATGACCATCAGAGCATTAGGATTTTCTATATTATTATTATTGTTATTGTTATTATTGTTATTGTTGTTATTGTTATTATTGTTATTATTATTATTGTTATTATTATTATTATTCTCTGGTGCTAAGGAGTTCTTCTCTCCCTCCCCACCTGAAAAGGCATCTCTTCTAAATGCAGTTCAGCTAAGCTACGCCCAATCTCCTTGCTGTCTCCTTGTTGCTCACACAGCCAATACTGTTTCGGTTTCCAAACAGTCCTCAACTCTCGCTCCCCAGCCGAAAAGAAATCTGTTCTAACTGCAGTTGAGCTAAGCCACACCTAGGCTCCTTGCTGTCTCCTTGCTCGCACAGCAAATACTGTTTCAGTTTCCAAACAGCCCTCAACTCTGACAGGATGATAACCAGATAAATACGGATGGATGCTGGTAGGCAGAGGCAGATTTTTTTTTCCTCCTTATTTTGCTCCCCCAAAACTTGCCCGATCACATAGTTTCGTAGCGAACCATGGGTACCCTGCTAGTTTATTACATTATTTTTACCCACTTTTCTCTGAAACAGACCCAAGACAGAAACAATAAGCAATCATTGCTGAAAATACCTTCTTCCTTCTGTTTAAACGTTTTCCTTATGAGGGGATTCCCCCCCACCCACCCCGCCACGGTTTTATTAGTGACCTCTCAGTTTTCAGGTTTCCTTTAAAAAAGCCGCATTTGAAAGAGGACACAATATAGAGTTTTCGAGACCGGCTGTAAGCGCTCCCTCTGGGCATTCCGTTTATTGGCTATCTTGGAATGCATTTGTTCTTAAAAAATCCTGAGTGCGGTGATTTTATCTTAGCTGTGCTGTTGGCCAATTTTTATTTGTGTGGTTATTGCTCTACAAAAATGTTCAGGAAGGCATGTTAAGTCAGAGGCTAACTGTTTAAATCAGAAATTAGAAAATTAGAAATTAGAATAGAAATAGAAAAACACAGAACAGGTTACAGAATAATATAGAGTACAAAGATAGGATAGGATGGGA